CAACCACAATAAGGTGTCAGGGGTTACTATACCGATAGGTACAACCACAATAAGGTGTCAGGGGTTACTATACCGACAGGTACAACCACAATAAGGTGTCCGGGGTTACTACACCGACAGGGACAACCACAATAAGGTGTCAGGGGTTACTATACCGACAGGTACAACCATAATAAGGTGTCCGGGGTTACTATACTGACAGGTACAACCACAATAAGGTGTCAGGGGTTACTATACCAACAGGTACAACCATAATAAGGTGTCAGGGGTTACTATACCAACAGGTACAACCACGATAAGTTGTTGGGTTACCATACAGATAGTTACAATCACAATGTGGTCTACATTAAAATGTTATGAAAAGTATTTTAAACCAAAATGATAATATGAATATCACATTCTAATGTTTCAGAATGGGCAGTTATTACATAGAATATAATAGACTTAAATTATTGATCTTGACTTCTGAGTAATTTCAAACAATGCATTAATTCAGTTTAGTAATGTCCGCCTATTCTAATCAACAATCGAAGCCACCCAATGATTTGTGAGATTGTCTATTTGTTTTTGTTTTTGTATTTTCAATTGTGGTTGCATGCATGTTTTTCAACTGAATTTAAACAACGGTCAATTTTGTACTTTTTTTCGAACCACAACTTTAACTGTGCATTTCATATACAATATGTGACGGTTGAAATGACAACATCATCTTTCAATTTTGCAAGTGCATTGTAACTGTTACAAGCATGTGCTAAAGAAAAACATACAAAATTTTGGCAAAACAGATCAATTAATGGAATTTAATTGGTTCCCCGAGGACACTTAGAATTGAAAATATGGATTCGAATCTTTAAATTAATGACTATTATTAATGTCATAATTAAGCTATAGTTTTAAACTTTGTTACAAGAGGTTCAAGCATGCTGTGAAGAAAAAGTAATGTAGTTCTTCAAATCCCACCCCTGGCCTTCTGAAGGAATGTACACCTATATCTGGTGGTTGTACCTTAAGGATTTATTGACCTTTAGCAGGACACCAAATTATCAAATTATCTGACACACAAGTTATTTCTCAGGCAGTGTTTGCCCTGCCTATCTTTTCTCTGACAAGCCACATTGACACAAGTCTACAAACACATAATGAAAAAGACATTTGTTCAACAGAAGGTGATAATTTATTTCTCTGTCTCTAATCACTAGCCAGTACAAATAGCTTATGTTCCCAGTGAAGTAGGCTTGCTATATTGTTGACATTAATTCCGTCACAAACATTTTTATCAAAGAAACTTCCAAGTATATTTATGGTATTACTCTGTGAGATAAGCAAAGACATAGGATCAATGTTTGAAGTGTTAATTTTAACCAAAGTTACAACCGTTCTCTGATACTTTTCTTTAGTATAAAACAGCCAAGACATTTTAATAATGTATACTGAAAACACAACCAAATTTAAGACCTTATCACATGTAAAATACATCCAAGAAGAGACAAAAAACCACATAATCCGAAATCACTATATACTGGTATTACGAAATACAAATTAATAAGACGACAAAAACGACCCTTTCTCCTAACAATCTAAAAGAAGGACATATCCAGCAGGAAGTAACTGCACATTTAATTTATGTGTCTGGCTGGAAATTACTGCTTATCCTAACACACTAAAGAAAGTGTTCAGCAGGAAGTGGCTGCTTATCCTAACACACTATAGAAGTTGACCAACAAGAAGTGACCACTTCTCCCAACACACTCTGGAAGGCTACCAACAGGAAGTGTCTGCTTCTCCTAACACACTATAGATGGTGTCCAGCAGGAAGTGATCACTTCTCCTAACACACTATCGAAGGTTACCAAGAGGAAGTGACCACTTCTCCTAACACACTATAGAAGGTATCAAACAGAAGGTGACCACTTCTCCTAACACACTATAGAAGTTGACCAACAAGAAGTGACCACTTCTCCCAACACACTCTGGTAAGTTACCAACAGGAAGTGTCTGCTTCTCCTAACACACTATAGATGGTGTCCAGCAGGAAGTGACAACTTCTCCCAACACACTATCGAAGGTTACCAACAGGAAGTGACCACTTCTCCTAACACACTATAGAAGGTATCCAACAGAAGGTGACCACTTCTCCTAACACACTATAGATGGTGTCCAGCAGGAAGTGACCACTTCTCCTAACACACTATAGATGGTGTCCAGTAGGAAGTGACCACTTCTCCTAACACACTATAGATGGCGTCCAGCAGGAAGTGACCACTTCTTCTAACACACTATAGATGGCGTCCAGCAGGAAGTGACCACTTCTCCTAACACATTTAGAGAGAGTGTCCAACAGGAAGTGACTGCTACCCCTAACACACTAAAGGGAGTGTCCAGCAGGATGTGCCATCTCCTAACACACATTAAGGAGCTGCCAATTATGTGAAATATCTTACAGGACTGTGAAACTGATACACAAGATTTTTTTAAAAATAATTCTGACAAATGTTTTCTGCCACAATTTTCTGTTGCAACAATTTGTAAAACTGTCAAGTTAAAAAGTCACTCAAAGAATTTCACGAGTCAACATTATAAATGATGACAGCAAATATTCAGTATTCAGTTTTTCATTCAATTTCTCAGTTTCAAAACTGATCAGAAAAAAATAAAAAAAGAAACAAACACTGTGGTCAACATTTTGCTCAATTGTTCTGAAGAAGTCAGGACTTGATTTTGATGATTGGGACCCCTGGAATAAGGTAACAGAACATATTTAGATACTTTTCGTTTCTTTGTTTTCTTTATAAATAATAAACTGGAACTTTTGATAATTAAAACTGATTAACAAGAGACCACCTCACATAAAATTGCAATATGCATCCTTTAGTACCAGTGTCAGTGTTTGGTCAACAACATAGCTGACTGGGGTTGTGAACATCACATCTATACAAAACTGTTAGAAGTTGCTGTTTAAATAACATGTTTCATAACCGGGAAACTTATTAGTTCATCAGTCTTCCTCAAACCATTGTGGTTGAGTCAACAGAGTTGTCTCCCTTCCAGTGTCTACTATTTCTTATTGTTCTTTTTGTGAAGTTTTTACCTTTTCTGTAAAATATTGTGTACTTAATTTTTATCTGTTATTGATCTAGAGATCTATTGAGTAGAACAAATCATTAGATTTAATGTGAACTGCTAAGTAATGACAATAAGCTGATTGATCTGAAATTTTCTGTAGTCTTTGGTCAGTTTGGAGCAATACATGCCTTTGATACATTAAGGACCTTTAATAAATCTGAACATACTGTATAATTCTGTATAATTTAATTTCATATGATATTCAAAATACCCAAATTCCACATCTAAACATTAATAATTACTGGAAAATTAACAAATTTATGCTCTTCTTCCTAGTAAAACATTCCCTTTTCATAACTTAATATTCCATGGTTCTACAAATCATTCGATTCCTTGTTAGATCTAAAGCCTATCTATTGTTATATCAAAAAGAATCATATGTCATAGGGTATCAATACTGATGTACCTGATGTTGGAGTGATCCTGCCAAACATGTATTAGTTATAAGGTGATTTTCTGAATGGTTTCAAAGTTATTATCCACTAACTAATCACCACCAGGCTCGACGAACATGATAACAGTATTAACATCAGGAGTGCATCCAAGTCTTTATGTACCGTGTACATAGGTCACAGGGTGGGTATCACAAAAGCTTATGGTAATCGCTCAAAGTTAATCCTGGGATCCATATCTGAGGATAATAGCCATATACACAACATCCATAACATCTGGTAACATGCTTGTGTTCCTAATCTGCATGTCCAGCACCTTTATGTTAAATGTATATACCGCCGGTAGTTATAAGATTTCAAACATTTTCATATGATTACCCAGGTATTGAATCACCAAGAGGTCAGATCGTATATTAAATTCTGCACTATATTTGATAAAAAAAAAGTGAAGGTCTCAATTACTATGACCCACAAATCTGAAAGAAAATCCGCAACCGGAAAAAAAATTAACAGGATTTCAGTAGTCATATATACTGAAACTAAAGTATAGCAAGGCAAGTTTTGGTTGAATTTGGTGAAAATCTTCCATAGAAAGCTCACATACTGAATTCTTTAAGGCGAAAACAATGGATATTGGTGTCTTGTAGATACAATCAATGACAACAAATAAGATACAGACATCTAACAAGTTGCTAACTCCAAGCTTCAGTATCAGACTTACATCTATGAAGTTTCAGAGGATTTTAAATATAATTATTCTGCTTAACGCATTTGATCATCTTAATTATCTTGAACAGTAACAACCACCTTGTAAACACTTCAAACCAGTCAATCTGCTAATACTTAAATTTCAAAAATAATTGAAGATACTGGTTTCGTAAATCTATATAGTTTAAACCCAATAAATATCCCATATGCAGGACTGTCAAGTAACCTGCCCTCGCTGGATAGAATGGAAACTGTTGCTTATCATCTAATAATTCATTATCATTATTTAATTTTGTCAATGATACATGTATAAATTTTTAAAAAAATCTCGAATCGATTATTTCTATGAGACCTAATAGTTTTATGCCTAGCTTAAAGATAACGTGCCACTTTGAAAATCAAACACCTGTTACTCAGTTACACGCTTCAAATTAAACAATCCATCTTAAGAGACGGCCGTCGGGAAAAAATATCCGGTATTTTGGTTTTGAAGAATTAATAACTATTTCGAAACAAACAAAAAATACACTGTTGGCTAACATACTTTATTGCTCTTTTATAATATGATTAATGTGCATTTTTCCAATGCTTCAGTCATTTTATTATTTTTTTACCACAACATCAATATCCGCCTCTGAGGACGTTTCTTAAATTAGAACCTCCGTCTAAAACATATAAACGACTACGTGACACGATCAGTCAATTGCGGCGTCTCTGGATAAAATAGACACGGAAAAGTCCTATTTTCTCGTTGTCAGGTGGTAAACAAGGTTGTCATAGAGCGGATGCGGTACTGGAAAGGAAGAACATGGCAACGTACCCTAAAAATCCACAGGACAGTGAAACGACACCAAAGGAAAATATTCCAGGGGTGCCCGATTACGGGTGGCGAGTGAAACTAGATTATGAATGCAAAACGAAATGTACCCCTTTCACAAAACCTCGGTTGAGTCAGATACCATCACTAATAGGACTGTCACTAAGGTGAATATACAGACATTTAATTTCCTTGATACTTTGTCTTTATTTGTATTTGTTGTTTAAATGTTACTATAGTCTTGGTTGTACTGTAATTTGTTATCGATTTTCCTACCCCGGCAGTTAGATCTTCGGTCAGTGGATCACGATGTGCACTGATGCATGCAAACGTGTACATCATATTTTTCATAGTGGGTAAATACTACTCTCTTTTGTTTAATATCCCTTTGGTTATGACATACTTCCGTGTCTTGGTAATTGTTCGGTATACAACCACAGGGACAATGTAAACCACCACGAACACCCGACTTACATTATGTATATAGATTTACATGTATAACCCGACTTACATTATGTATATAGATTTACATGTATAATTACATAATACATATTATTATAAAAATATGAAAAGTGAAGTTTTATACTTACTGAAACAGAGGAATCGGACTTAAATAAGGTATAAATACAGTATAATGTACTTTTGTATAATTTAGTTTGTGTAGAAAGCAAATAAATTTTAGGAGTCATGTCATGTTGATCAATATCATTAGATGATTTTGTTATTGATTGATTTAGAGGATAGTATGCTTGTTTTATGCCTGTAATGGAGATTAGATCAAGCAGAGACATATATATATATACATACGTCTCTGGATCAAGTAACTTGTTTTTAATATGTGACAAAGTTGAGTGTTAAAATGACAAAATTTGGGATAATATTTTTTCATATGGAGATTGGGATTTATATATCATTCTCTAAAGAATTATCCAGTAAAGTTAAGAGACAATAATACCATGTGATATGATTTTATGTAGTTGTGATATTGTTAGTTGAAACTGATGCCTGGATTTAGAATATCACCAAATGCAATTATGTTATCATCTTTATCGACATTTTACATTACCCACAAACTCGTTTGGAATGAAGAAGTGAATCAGAAACAGGATTATGATTATCGTACTCTCTACTTCACATTTCGATGACATATTTTAGCATTTCTTTATGAGTAGTTTCTCCTATATCAATATTGATTGTCTGTCTCAGCAGGAAGGATGTCTGCCATCTTTGGCTAGAGTTAGAATTCAGGAATATATCAAGGATTAGATCTTGGAAATTTATCCAATAACAAAATGTGTTACATTAACCGTTATTTTAATATGATCTTTATAGCATATTTTTTACATCTGTATTACTTTTTTGTTGTGTCTATGTAGTTTTGTGATAATGTTGTATGCAAATTGCACTTCAGATACATGAATATTTGCATAGCCAAAACATATAATTCCAACTTAACATATTTTCTACAAAGTACGCTTAGTTTGAACATGAAATATTCTCTGAACGAATAGTAACATATATATTCTTCAAACCCTGAGCTTGTTGCGATTGATATTTGTCATTGATTGCTCCTGATTCTTTAATCGCCCTGCATACCAGCGTAGGTATCCAAGTGACGGGTATCGGGAACATTATACACCTGTTCTAAAAATCACGGTGTTGGCTCTAGTCTCGGTTAGTCATATATATTCTTGTATCAATGTAAGAAGTCATGACTTGTTGGTATCAAGTATGCACCATATTCCAATCACTTCAGAAGGCTCTTGGTTAGCCAATTTATCATATGACATTATTTCGCTGACTGCAAACACTTATTTCCCAAGGTCTGATCACATGATTCTGTAGTGCGCTTGTTACGTCCTAAAATCACGCCAGAAAGAAGCATTTACTTTTTATCAATGAGAAAAGAATGATTACTTACCCTTTTTTTGCATGAAATAATTTTGATTATGTAATAAATTTGCTTTTAAGAGTGGTTACTTGTACATCTTTACCAGTTGTAGAATGAACACAACAGCAACTGTTGTGGTACATTTTTATAATGAAAGCAACTTTTTTATGGTCACCCAACCACTTAATCTCTTTTTAAAGTTTTTAAGAGATGCTTGAGAAGGATTATTTCTCCATTGAAGTTTTGTTTCCAGTTTAAGAACCATACCATTTTCATTATTGACATATTTGGGAAGGGTAGCAACTCTGTTGAATGTATCATTTCCAAGTCCCACAAGAGCCACATTTGCCTGAAACTTCTGTGAGCTGTGCTCTTATCATTATATACAACTGTCATTTCTCCAACATGCTGATTGGTCAAAATACCTGTCAAAGGTCTAAATATATTGCACTGTTATACAGAGAGAGTCTGAATCTGTGTATGTGAAGTAAATGTTATAGTTCAAAACCATGTCAGGTGTTTTACAGGTAAATATTACAATCGTAGAACCTGTGCTACATTTTTTGGCCATTTTTAAGCATGGATTGTCATCATATGATAATGCATTTATTGTCCTGTTTTCAGGTGAATACAAGGATTTATTAACTCCCATTACTCAATTTTTCCATCCGGTGTCAGCACTGAATTCCTCACCACTTGCTCCCTTGCTTCTAATCAAGGGAGTAATTTAACTTGTTTATGAGGTTAAATAGAATTATGGTACCAATAACACTTGAACAATGACAAAGCCATTTGAAACCAGCCTGTTACTCTCTTCACATTGCTGAAATTTTCCCTGTGTTATCAATGACTCTACAATCCAAGTTGAATGACAAGCTGTTCATTGACACATATAGATGTATGTACTACATGTAGTAGTTTACAACAGCTTATTTTGTTTTGTCAGAAAGAAAAGACAGAAGACACATGCTCAATTAGTTTAAACCACAAGTCATTATGCTAGGTGTAATAGCTGGAATTTCTAACTGTATGGTCTCTATATTTGATTTAAGGAATATTTCAAAAAGTTGAATAACTTCAATGACAAGTTGTTTGTATTTTCTTCTCTCCTAGTCCGTTCACTCAAAAAAAAAAACTGCGGAAAATATTACTACTTTCTGCTTTGTTTATGACATTTGAAAAATTTCATATATTTGAGAATGACATTTGCAAATTGCATACACATGAGGTCAATCAGTTATAATGAGTGTGATGTTTTACATGAATGTTGGGTTTTGAAATTATATCTTAATTATATGTTTCACAAATTAAAGTATACACACCAGTCTGCTTTTATATAATTATCTTACAGTATTAACCCTGCATTTTGTAACTACCATCTTCATTCTAAATACATAAGTGCACTGTGTACTTTTAAAACTTATTTATAGTTGAAAGTTTCCCTGTAAAATAATGAAATATGTTGCGATATAAAACTTTGGTACATGTTTATTTAGAAGAAGAATCACCCAATTTAAAGTTGATAGAAATTATACAATTCAACCATAAAACTTTTGGTATGCATAATAGATCACAGAGAATAAGTATTTTGGTATATTGAAAAACAAAGTTGGCTTAATAAAAAATTGATAGATCAACTATATAAGCGTTACAGTGCTTTTGTAAATGTTTTGTCATTCTGTCAGATATATGAAAGTATGGGTGAAGACACGACGACAAGGGAGACGATTATTCATCGACCACCTGGACCAAGTAGAGCACAAATCCATGTATGGTAAGCAGTTTCTGAATGTGGGAAAACTTCTCATTTCGAAGCTCAGGGAAATATTAGTGATTTTTGATCTTATCTTAGTTTATCGAGAAATTAGTTTGTTCTCAGATGTAAGAAATGAGAAAACATGGTCATGGAGCCACTTTTAAGGGAATTACCTTCGGAATTTTTTTTATTTCCTTATTTTCCCTCTCTTTTTGAAATTTATTTGATCTGGTTTTTTTTTTTTTTTTTTAGTAATAAACACTCAGAGTATGTGAACTGTGGAGATGATTTGTTTCCACAGGTTGCCCCCTAGGAGGGATAGGGTGTGGCACAGTGGGACGAGGATTCCGAGGAGAATTCTGTCGCTTCCAGATGTTACCAGGGTTATATGAGCACCAGACTGTCCAGGCAAACCAGGTAAGCACTGTAAAAATGTAAATCACTACAAAATGATCTTAGAATCATCCTTGGGTAAGACACGTTTGTCCTCTTCTCTCCTGTCATATTAGGAATATGAAAACTACATGATTATTAATATTACAAATGGATGTAACAATCTTTAGCAAGGAGGAGTTGAAGTAATGTTAGTGCAATGTCGTAAAATATGCCAATTTGACAATTCCGCTGATTGATTTTTGTGTTTTTTTTGTTACCAGTTTATCCTGTGTATTCGTAAGAATGGTAAAACAGTGTATCAGAAGGTCCTGACTGGGCGCAAAGGAAAGCACTTGAAGGCCTGGGAATGGGGATTTCCTGCTGCAAATGCCACTTACCATGCACTCTACCCACGGGCGTGGACTGTATATGACATTCCTGAGTACAAACTGCGCCTTGTGTGTCGTCAGATCTCTCCAGTGTTTCCTCATGACTACAAGGTAAGGATCTATATCATGAAAGGTCATTCTAACGATACAATTTGTCCTTATGACGCAAAAACACACATTACGTGTGTTTTTTGATAAATAGGATTTACTTTGAAAAATAAACTAAAATTTAGATTTGACTAATGCCTGAAGAGTTATATCATTTCAAAGTGATTTGAAAATTACTTCTTACTAGTTACGTGTAAATTAAGCCAGGTTCCAGCATGTGTTACTCTGGTGTGTGTACTGAGCTTTGTATAAACATACATTATATGGTGTAGACACTTTTGATTACCTTCAGACTTGTGAAGACTTTACATCTCTATTGTACACCAAAACAAACTAATAAGATATATTTCAATCTGAAATTGTTTGGGATGAAATCTTAAATAATTGAAATTTCTAGATGTTTTCTGATTTCCTATGGAAGGTATGACTGTTCACGCAAAGAAGTCTGTCCCATCATGTGTTAGAAGAGTTTGTTTGAACTGAATCGTGAACCCAAAATCACTTTTCTTTAATGTAAAATGCATCTAATATATGGGAAATATTATACATTACAGTTCTATTTAAACATGGTTCACTATTTGCCTTAAATGTTTTTAAATGTGACTGGAATTTTTTTTTTACGCATTTTGGTGTGCTCTTGTTTGTTGTTACATCAATGACCTAGCAGTGTCTACAGTACAGTGCAGTTTCACTCTTTAGCTTACTCCTGGATTGTTGGGTTGTCGTTCAATTTTACACAGCAATTTTCCCATGTGTCAATTTTTACTATTCAGGAAACAAGCTTCCCCATGGGAGTGTTTGCATGGTCTGTGGAAAATAATGGATCAGAGCCGTTGGATGTCAGTATTGTTTTCACTTTTAAAAACGGAACAGGCTCCAAAACTGACTCTGTAGGGGAGTGTCAAAACGAGGCCTTCGAAAGTGATGCAGAGGGGACTCAAGTTACGGGTGTTCTTATTCGCCATTCCTTGCGTGACATCAAGTGTACTTATGGGATAGCTGCTGCCAACAAGGTCAGTAAAGGTCACATGTACCTTATACGTGATACTGAGAATAGTAGCTGGCATGTACAGCCTAAGTCAAATCTAACCACTTGTGTAGTGAGTTTTTTTTTTTTTTTTTTTGCTAGGAACATTCCAACTTATTCATAAAATGAAGTTGCTGTCATATGTTATGGTATTTAGATAAAAATTAAATTATAGCCACTGGAAAGAGATACTGTAATGGTCAGCCATTGGTAAGTAAACACGTACATGACATTAGAAAGAGGTTTAAAGAAGTTATAGAAATTCACGAGTGATGGATGTTTTAACAAGAAATTTTCTAAAGTGACATGTATTTTGGCATTAGATTTACATGTAAACGACTTTAAAACCCTGATTTGTTTGATATTGTATAAAATATATATAAATATATATAAACATTCAAACTGAGGAGTGTACAAAGACACAGATGTGAATAACACCTTTCAATATGAATTTAGAACTAAATACAGTGGTATAAATAATTAAACTGCATCATGCAGCTGTTACATCCTTCTAAGACTCATTAGTGATGCTAAGGGCTGAACTTTTTCAAAAATCTAGAATGCAATGAAGGGAAGTGAAAATTGATCAAAAGAAATATAAAATTATTTGAACCACAAACATGTAATACATTGAGGTGTATTTGCTGTTGAAAGACAGCTTTACATCCAGTTTATTTATCTGGATATTTGTCACTTTAGTTACCAGGATATTCTGTCACTTTGTTTACCAGGATTTTGTTTCACTTTATTTACCAGGATATTCTATTACTTTATTTACCTAGATATTTTGTCACTTCATTTACCTGGATATTCTGTCACTTCATTTACCTGGATATTCTGTCACTTTATTTACCTGGATATTCTGTCACTTCATTTACCGGGATATTCTATTACTTTACTTACCTAGATATTCCATCACTTTATTTACCTTGATATTTTGTCAATTTATTTACCTGGATATTCTGTCACTTTATTTACCTGGATATTATGTCACTTTATTTACTTGGATATTCTGTTACATCAGGAAGATGTACATGTAAGTCACAAGCTGCACTTCGACCCAAAGGGAAATGGACGTGTGCTTTGGGATGATCTAGCAGAAGATGGACAGCTCAACTCTACCCCAGGTACAGATCTATATAACAACATCCAAATTAATAATCACTACCTGTAAACAAATTGACTATATAATTTTTTTTTTTTTAATTTCTACTGGTGTTTTATTCCACGTCGCAATGTCTTAAAGCATATTTTTTTCAGATTTAAACATTCATAAAGTATATGTAGCTTATATTCCTAATTAAGATAGATACTCCTTTTAGCAGTCTTAAAGGAGTTTGGTTGTAGAGATCAATGTAAATTTCATGTCCTTTTTCATTCCCTTTGTTTTTGTGAAAATAAAGCCCATAACTGGAAATTAATGAATAATGAATAGAGTAACAATCTCCTAAAATACCTCCTTCAACTAACCACCCACACTATTTGTCCTGTAACTAGTGCCTAATATGACCCCAGATTTGTATTCACACTGCTTTTACTCAAAACATTATAGGCTTAGGACTCTGCATATTCCATTGCACAAAAGGCAGTGACTTTTTTTTATTTGAGTGCTGTTTGTTTGTTTCTGAAGGACAAGACTACCAGTTTAGGTAGCTGGATAGGGTACCAAAGCAAAATTTTCTTTTTTTTTCAACTGATTTAAGTGCTATGTATTTGTTTCTAGAGAACCAGACTAGGGGGAGGGATAGCGTACTTAAGGTAGTATATCTAATTTCCAGATTTAAGTGCTGTGTATTTGTTTCTAGAGAACCAGACTAGGAGGAGGGATAGTGTACTTAAGGTAGTATATCTAATTTCCAGATTTAAGTGCTGTGTATTTGTTTCTAGAGAACCTGACTAGGAGGAGGGATAGTGTACTTAAGGTAGTATATCTAATTTCCAGATTTAAGTGCTGTGTATTTGTTTCTAGAGAACCAGACTAGGAGGAGGGATAGTGTACTTAAGGTAGTATATCTAATTTCCAGATTTAAGTGCTGTGTATTTGTTTCTAGAGAACCAGACTAGGAGGAGGGATAGTGTACTTAAGGTAGTATATCTAATTTCCAGATTTAAGTGCTGTGTATTTGTTTCTAGAGAACCAGACTAGGAGGAGGGATAGTGTACTTAAGGTAGTATATCTAATTTCCAGATTTAAGTGCTGTGTATTTGTTTCTAGAGAACCAGACTAGGGGGAGGGATAGTGTACTTAAGGTAGTATATCTAATTTCCAGATTTAAGTGCTGTGTATTTGTTTCTAGAGAACCAGACTAGGAGGAGGGATAGTGTACTTAAGGTAGTATATCTAATTTCCAGATTTAAGTGCTATGCATTTGTTTCTAGAGAACCAGACTAGGGGGAGGGATAGTGTACTTAAGGTAGTATATCTAATTTCCAGATTTAAGTGCTGTGTATTTGTTTCTAGAGAACCAGACTAGGGGGAGGGATAGTGTACTTAAGGTAGTATATCTAATTTCCAGATTTAAGTGCTGTGTATTTGTTTCTAGAGAACCTGACTAGGGGGAGGGATAGTGTACTTAAGGTAGTATATCTAATTTCCAGATTTAAGTGCTGTGTATTTGTTTCTAGAGAACCAGAGTAGGGGGAGGGATAGTGTACTTAAGGTAGTATATCTAATTTCCAGTTTTAAGTGCTATGCATTTGTTTCTAGAGAACCAGACTAGGGGGAGGGATAGCGTACATAAGGTAGTATATCTAATTTCCAGATTTAAGTGCTGTGTATTTGTTTCTAGAGAACCAGACTAGGGGGAGGGATAGTGTACTTAAGGTAGTATATCTAATTTCCAGATTTAAGTGCTGTGTATTTGTTTCTAGAGAACCTGACTAGGGGGAGGGATAGTGTACTTAAGGTAGTATATCTAATTTCCAGATTTAAGTGCTGTGTATTTGTTTCTAGAGAACCAGAGTAGGGGGAGGGATAGCGTACTTAAGGTAGTATATCTAATTTCCAGATTTAAGTGCTGTGTATTTGTTTCTAGAGAACCAGACTAGGGGGAGGGATAGTGTACTTAAGGTAGTATATCTAATTTCCAGATTTAAGTGCTGTGTATTTGTTTCTAGAGAACCAGAGTAGGGGGAGGGATAGCGTACCAAAGACAGTGATTACTCTTTTTTTCCTTCTACTTGTGCGTCTGGTTCGTGCATTGGCCAACCTCATCCTCCCCCCAGCTAGTCCAGGTAAGAAGTCTCACTGTTTGTGTTAATATTTACCTAATCACTAATACCTTAGGTTTTTTTAGGGGTTCAGAGTAATGTTAATCAGTAATATAGAGTGATATTAATATATGTTATGTCTCATGTATTTATGCCCTTGCTGTTTCCTAGTCGAGGTACAGAGTATTACCTTCAGCTGCCATTCCATCATTCTCACTGACTTACTTCTTTCATGAATATTGATATAGAATAATATGTTATGTTTTAGGTAGAAATAATATGCTAGTCACATTTTTATTTGGTCAATTTTTTTGGTTTTTGCTAGCGTTATGTTCTTTGAAAATAAAGAATTTTTATCAAAATTTTGGGAACATGTTAAGATCAAAATTGTTTTTTTATAATAATATCCCCTGTATTTCATCAGAGTTATTTCCCTTGTCAGTCCTTATTAGAAATATATATGGAGGTTGGGTCTCCTACCACATTTATGTTGTATATAAGATAATGTAGAAAACTACTTTATAGAGTGTATTAGATAATGTAGACAACTACTTCTACAGAGTATATAAAATAATGTAGACAACTACTTCTACAGAGTATATAAAATAATGTAGACAACTACTTCTACAGAGTACATTAAATAATGTAGACAACTACTTCTACAGAGTACATAAAATAATGTAAACAACTACTTCTACAGAGTACATAAAATAATGTAGACAGCTACTTCTACAGAGTACATAAAATAATGTAGACAACTACTTCTACAGAGTACATTAAATAATGTAGACAACTACTTCTACAGAGTACATAAAATAATGTAGACAACTACTTCTACAGAGTACATAAAATTATGTAGACAACTACTTCTACAGAGTACATTAAATAATGTAGACAACTACTTTTATTGAGTGTACCGGGTATATGAAATAATGTAAAAAACTGCAGTTATAGTGTATAGTAAAGTAACATACCAGTAAATATCATAGAAACATCATGATAACATAAATAAGCTATTTGATATTTTAACTGCAAGAAGGATGAATGAAAGGTGCAACTGTCAGTGTCTGATTTAACCAATCCATGAAGTGAAGTCAACTTCATGTGAATTCAAGAGCTACAATAGAAATTCCAGTCTGGCCCTTGAATTAACCTGAAGTTCATGAAATTTCAGTTGAAATATAAAGTATTTCTACATTTATGTACTGATGGTTCAAAAGATAATGATAAGGTTGCTTCGGCCATGGTTACACAAGATAAACCTATGGATACTGGCTACTGAACAACACCTCAGTATTCTTGGTGGAATCGCGAGCTATCTATATCAGGTACTTGTCTTCAACTTTCATTTTGCTTTTTGCTGGGTTCCTTGGCACATGAGAATATCTGGGAATGAAAAAGTAGATTGTGCTGAAAAGGCAGCTTTATCACCACCACCTGTTGTTTTTAAACTTCCTTTTACTGATTTTAAACCATTTATCAAATAATTTCTACCAGCTCAGTGGCAGAAGGAATGAAATCAATATACCAATAATAAATTGGACTCCCTAAAACCTATCATCGGTGAATGGTCACCATACTATAGACAACCATTGAGACAAAGTTGTCCTTGCCCGTCTTTGGATGGGTCATACATACCTTACACGTTCATATATGTTGAAAGGCGAAGATAATCCTCGATGCATAGGATGTGATTAGCCATTCAACGTTGAACATTTTTTATTGGACTGCATTGACCTTCAATCTTATCGAGAAACTTTTTTATCGTAACGTTACAAGTCTAGAAACCCTTTTTGAAATTGTTGAGATTTACAAAATTCTAGGTTATCTGAAAGATGTTGGTCTATATTATAGACTCTGACTTACTATTTTAATCTTTTGTGATTATATAACCATTTAAGATTTTAAGCATTTGTCTTTCACTTTGTTTGATGTTTTTTTCCATTTTGGATTGGGATTGCTGTGTTTCAATGGTTTATGACCCTAATGACCTTTTATGTGTTGACGGGTCATTAAAACCATAATTTTTTCATTTCTAGTACCTTTATGTCATGTTGTATTGATTACATACCTGTAGTTAACCCCCTCCTTCCCCTGTCAAATTTCTTTGTCATCATGTCCCTTTGGTTACACTTTCTCCCAGTTCACTACATTTCACTTCAAAAAACTATCATTAATTATACTGCATCTTTCTTCCATGGAAGCTAAGTTTAGATGTGAAGGGAAGTTGTGATAAATCAAAGAAACATAGAGAATAAAAAGTACACTTAATGTAGAGCTTCAAAAATATTTTGTAGTATCCTTACTTCAGCCCTCATACATTAACTTAGTACACTTGTCATAGTTGTGGCTACTTGGCATGATGTAGATTAATGCTATATATAAGTACTGTAACAAAACTATTTTTTGATGCTGTCACCTGCATGGATATAAGAAAGAAAGTGAATATTTCAGACAAACCACAGAGAAAGGGACAAGAATCTGCTGTCGCTGTCTGCTCTCAAGTAACAGTGCCACCAAGTAGCAAGAAGGAAATGGACTTCACACTTACGTGGGATATGCCTGTTGTACACTTTAAAAACAAAGAGAAACTCTATGGAAGGTACTGTATTTTGGCATAGTATTGTACAGATACAGTGAAACTCACTCGTGTCAAACATGCTTGAATCTAATGTATCAGATAAGTCCAATGTTTTGTTCAGACCGGATTTTTTCTCTTCTTTATCTCAGTAAAATAAACAGGGATGATTCAAACACTGTTGAATCGAATACTGCATTTGTGTCGAATATATTTTGTGGTTCATCCCTGCTAAATTCTACCAAAATTTCCTCGTTTCTGTTGAACATTCAAACATCACCTTGTCTCTTGTAAAATTTCCTGGCTTTGGTCAGCATGACTGAATACTATCGGTCAGTCGTATCTGTGTTAATTAGCTCTTTTGTAATTTTCGATTGAACATGAATCCCTGTGTTTACACAGGTGCACAGTCGAAAGTTAGAATTTATACAGAATTAGGCAACCAAACATAAACAAAACACGATGTAGTCTGTTAACCATAAATCTGCTGTGAAACCAAAGGAAAAAACAAATGATGACTGCACTGATGCAGAATGATAGAAATACTTATCTGTCATATACACTTCTGTTTATGATTTTAAATACATATACTGATAAACATGTACATATACAAAGTGCTAGATTTATTGTATTCTATTTTACGTTTACGCTCTTATGGTGCTGTACATGAAAAGTTATGCTTCAGTGACGTTACCGCGACCTTCACCTTTTTGTAACCCACTTCAGTGCTGTCTATGTAATATAAATGTAGAATACTGAACACTGGAGATAATATTGTATGTAGGTATGTCTAACTACAGAACAGTGGAGATAATATTATATGTACATATGTCTTCGTACTGAACAGGGGAGATAATATTGTATGTAGGTATGTCTAACTACTGAACAGGGGAGATAATATTGTATGTAGGTATGTCTAACTAGTGAACAGTGGAGATAATATTGTATGTAGGTATGTCTTCCAACTGAACAGGGGAGATAATATTGTATGTAGGTATGTCTAACTACTGAACAGGGGAGATAATATTGTATGTAGGCATGTCTAACTACTGAACAGTGGAGATAATATTGTATGTAGGTATGTCTACCTACTGAACAGGGGAGATAATATTGTATGTAGGTATGTCTTCCTACTGAACAGTGGAGATAATATTGTATGTAGGTATGTCTAACTACTGAACAGGGGAGATAATATTGTATGTAGGTATGTCTAACTACTGAACAGTGGCGATAATATTGTATGTAGGTATGTCTACCTACTGAACAGGGGAGATAATATTGTATGTAGGTATGTCTACTACTGAACAGGGGAGATAATATTGTATGTAGGTATGTCTAACTACTGAATAGGGGAGATAATATTGTATGTAGGTATGTCTACCTACTGAACAGGGGAGATAATATTGTATGTAGGTATGTCTTCCTACTGAACAGTGGAGATAATATTGTATGTAGGTATGTCTAACTACTGAACAGTGGAGATAATATTGTATGTAGGTGTGTCTTCCTACTGAACAGGGGAGATAATATTGTACATAGGTATTATCAAGATATGTTTGCCTAGAACCTACTGCAACATAGGAATGGTTGTACTTGTATAGATGATGTAGGTTTTATTACCTACTGCCAACTGAAAATATATACACTGTAGCTTATCAACCACAGAAACAATAACACCTTCGTCATGATATCAACCAAATGAACCATAAAAATTTCATTTGTTATCGAGATTATAATTGCTTTGCTAAGCTTGAATATACATAATGTTGCTGATGATATTTTTTTCAGGCGATATGGACGCTGGTTTGGGTACAAGAATGATGCATGCCCACGTATGTGTAGCTATGCTCTACAACACTATTCATCATGGGAACAGAAGATAGAGGCATGGCAGAACCCAATCTTACAGAATAGGTATGTAAGCAGATGTGCATCTTTAAGAAATGTTTTTAAAAAAAATATACGATTATTTGATGTTTTGAAATGTTGAAAATATTAAAAAAAAAGTATATGAAAATTTTTTAGAATGGATGAAAACATTTCTCAAAATAGGTGTGCACAAATTTTATCAGATGAGCATTAACACCATAATTATGCTTCAAACGTAAGTTTTCTTGGATGCAAGTTCACTGAATATCACTATAAAGGATGATTGTTGATGATTTTACCAGCAATCTACCAGCTTGGTATAAGTCTGCATTGTTCAATGAGCTGTACTATGTGAGTGATGGAGGAACAATTTGGGCTGACCCTCTAGAAAGGAAGGACGGCGAATTGTGTATCAGCAAGGACCCTAGTGAGGCAGCTGTCATTCAGGAATACAGCAAGTTTGCCTACTTAGAAGGTGAGGGCTGGTTCTGAGAGCAGGAAGCGTCCTGTTGGTACAGTTTACCTACTGATTAACCAAAGGAAAGCAGGTTTTTGAAGGTAGTTTAATTGGATGAAGACCCACTGTAATGATCAATGATGTGAGATGTTTATATATTTATGTAAAGCATTTTATATCAGGTGAATGATGCTAGCCCATCAGATCTCTCGTAACGTTGGTTTATTTTATTTGTCGTTTGGTTTAAACAAGATGAACATTATTTTGGCTAATCATGCCCTGTAGTTAATGTCACAGATGACACCATGTACATGATGGCATGTGGAATTCAGTTGGCATTGGTTTGTTTTGAATGTGATATCATGAATTCTATTCAGAGGAACTTACATTACTGAAAGTTGTTTGCTTAAGTCTATGTACATAGAAATATATTTTGTATGTTGCTGCTCCACTGTAAAATGTATTGTAGGTCATGAGTACAGGATGTATAACACGTATGACGTCCACCATTATGCCTCGTTCTCTCTCATCATGCTGTGGCCTAAGATACAACTGTCCCTACAGTATGACATTGGTAAGCCTTATTTACATTCACAAGTTCCATTTCTGCAGGTCCAAAAAGAGCAAGACATCAATAAGCACTACTAACACAGCTGTACAAGGTCATATCAATAAGCCATACTGACACAATGTGTTATCAATAAGCCTTATTTAGACTATATGCAGTTATTACAACCTGACAATAATAAGTCTTGGATCTACACCTCTCTCTCTGCAGTATAACATCAGTAATCCATATTTTTCAGCTTTTTCCTCAAACTCTAATACTTTGAGTGCTGAAATATGTTTTTTTAAAAGTATGATATATAATTCTAACCAGAAGCACTTTCATGTTGTTAGATTAAAACTGTAATGTTACGATATTGATGTGAATGTCTTTTCCAGCTAAAGCAGTGATGTCAGAGGATGCCACACCCATCCAGTTCTGTATGGAAGGAATGCGAGGCATCAAAAAGAAGGGCAATTCGGTACCACATGACATTGGAGATCCAGGTTAGTGGAACTGGTAGCTTCTTTTCCAATAAACTGGACATCAGAAGTCATGTTTAGTTCAAGATGTGAGAGAAAGCATTACATGTTAAAATTCACACTTCATAGGAAAAAACTGATGAGGAATAATCCAAATAAGGCAATATTGGTATACATTGATAGGTATGAGGTAATATCAGAGGGGAACGTGGTAGTTAATGTAAGGGTTCAGACAACACTGGGATTGTAGAGAGTAGCCATTGTTTATCAGAGTTTATGTTTTGGAGTTTTCTCCCTTTGAACAATTACAGGCAATACATAGCATGTATCTGCTAGTGATATAATACAACTACTACAGATAAACAATCAAATCTTACAGGACAGGGTGGTGGGATATGGGGGCCCATATTGGAAGCCAGTTTAAAGTTTGATTTAAAATGCTATTCTTTTTAAAGCTCTTGGTGAATTTCAACCAAATTTGCTCCAAAACATCATTGAGGAAGGAAAATCATTTAAGACTTAAATGAGTTTGGGTCAACCACTGGGGGCAGGAGGCCTCAAAAAAGGACTTCAGCTGAAGTTTTGGGTTCAAAATGTTACTCTTCCTTAACACCTGACAGAAATTTTAAAGCATTAATGGAGAAGGGTCAGGGATTACAAAGAACAAACAAACTGAATGTTTACTTTAAAGTTCTGCTATATGGATGCATAGATTTCAACCAAAGGCCTGAAACATCATTGGAAAATAGCAGAGGAGCTATTAAGGCCCATGGGGCTCTTGTAACCATTCTTTACTGTAGAGTATACTTCAGAAAGTTTTGATCAGTATTCTTTTTGACATTCAATTAATCGAACTTTTCATACAAATATGGTTTTTTATTCCAAACAATTGAAATTAAAGGACTGATTTCAAATTGATGGATTTATCATTAAAACTTTTTTGCCACAGAGGATGAACCATGGACTTGCTTGAATGCTTACATCATCCACCCAACATGTGAATGGAAAGATTTGAACCTAAAGTTTGTCCTTCAGACTTACCGTGACTTCAGTATAACCAAGGATGAGGAATACCTGAGGAACATGTACCCTGTGGCAAAGGTAGTCATCCTTATGAAACTGTTTTATAGAATATTTTATAAAGGTTTTTAATATCAGTTAACATTATAGATTTGAGTAGATGGAGATTGCTTGATTTAACTCTTGGTCCATAGTTGTTGAAGTGATGCTGTACCAGGCCCCACTTGTATAAAACATCTCAACTTGAGATTTCCTCAAGTAGAGATTTTCCTCAGCTGATATCTCCTCAAAAGCGGCTTGTATAAAATTTTCTCAAGGAACAGGAGGAAGGCATCAGCTAGGATGTCCTGAAATTCCTTGAGGAATTTTCATACAAGATATTACAAGGAGATATTAGCTGAGGAAAATCTGGGCTTAAGGAAATCTCAAGTTGAGATGTTTTATACAAGTGGGGCCAGTTATATAAAGACAAAATCAAATTTTGTGTATTTTAGACAGTAATGGAGATAGCAGAAAAGTGGGATACAGATGGCGACGGCTTGATCGAAAACAGTGGATTTGCCGACCAAACATTTGATGCTTGGTCCATGACTGGAGCAAGGTCAGTTGTCATGGTAATGTGGAAAATATACCTTTAAATTGTTTTCAATTTGATTTCCCCTCCCAGTGGCTGACAAGGCATTTATCATTTTTAGCTCATCTCGCCTAAAGGTGAGCAAAGTCACATGGATCAGATTTGTTAAAACATTCAACCAATTTTTCTCATGAACTAAAATGCCCAGAGGCATGATATTTGACTGATATGTTCCTTGGATGACGCCCGACAAAGTTTGTGTAAAGAAATGACCTTGACTATATAAAAATACAGATTGCTGACATACGACATTAAAGCATGTTTCAAGTTCTATCACAGTGATTTGAATCTGTGGGGAAGAGGGGAGTGCATGGCATACATATTGTGTATATTTTGATTGTGCGTATAAAGGATTCTTATTGTTATGACTGATCCCTACACTGCACACAAACACACAAATTACAATCATGTATGCCAAAGTTTTCCATTTGGGAAGAAAAATTTAGTAGCTTATCAAGTAGATCATTTATTATTTTCTCTGATTTGCAAGAAATATTGAAGTAAGAAACAACATTATTCTAAGTAATGTTTGTAATCATGATTCGGACTACCAACTCCATTTTTGTTCCAAATGTAAGAAAAAACAGAGCAGGCTCAAATAACAACAACAAATATCAAAATGGAACATCTACTTTGCTGTTAACACCCATATCAGATCAGATTAAAGATAGATTTTAATTCATCTTGATTGGATTTGTTTTTTTATTTACATTTATAACATTGAAATAGTGCCTACTGTGGTGGTATGTGGCTGGCTACACTCAGAATGATGATAGAGATGGGAAAAGTCCTTGGAAATGAAGAGGATGTGAAAAAATACACAGAAATACTCGACAAAGGCAAGGTGTCCTTTGAAGCAAAGGTCTGGAATGGTTAGTCATCTGTCTTTTATACATACAGTTCAAACTTGTTGTCTTGTAATCACATTACTAGAAATTCTGTTTCAGTTGGAATAATTTTCAAGTCACAAATTTTTACCTTTTTCATCTTTGTGGTTTTGTTTGGATGACTCAAATTTCATTGGGTCAAAATTTCGTTTGAATCAAAGTGATTTTTCAGTCCCTGGAATTGAAAAGCAGTTGAAAAGTTATTTGTTGTCTTGAAATTAATTTTGTCAGAACATGGACACATCTTCTAAAGAGTTTAATCCATACATATACAGAATTTAATGTCACCCATGCATAACACATGGCTACATATACAGCTTATTGGTACAAAACAGTTGATCTCTTGACAAATAATTACCTGTTTAATTATCAAATTAAAAGTTGTCTCCTTGAATTGTGTCCCTGTCCTGTAGCAGTGACTTACTTGTCCTGAACTGTGACTGAACTGGTCCAAAATAGAATTATATGGTCTCCACCCTACAGTGTTTTGATGGGCGGGGCTAAAAGGGGTCAGACTGTCTCAGATTTCAAAAATCTTCTCTTCAACACCCAGATATGGCAGAATCAAATACCCTTCATGGATGGAAACATCATAATGTGCTTTACCAGAATTGTGAATTTAATGGCCCCAGGGTCTCACATTTCCCTGTGGGGAGGGGGTAAATTTACTATAGTTTATCAAGGAAAAATATATTTTTGAGCTTAATTGAGCATATAGATCCAGACTAACCTCCAAGGGCTGATGGATGGGGCCAAAAAGGGTCAAATTGACTTAGAGATTTCAAAAATCCTCTTCTCAGTTACTGTAATTTTTATTGAAAAATTGTATTTTTGAGTATAAAGTTGAGCATTATCCACTGGAAATAGCTTTGTAGGTATTATTAATAAAGGATGACAGTTTTGCTTTCAGGTATTGACACTGACTTGCTATCAACAATGTCACAGTTTCTTTTTTATGACACTTGTAAGCTTTCCCTTTAACCTTTATAATCAATACTGCTTATCTCTGTTGACTGTCAGTGCCACTAGGCCTCTTGTAGAAAGTAGAAATCTTTTTGTTTCTATTAAATACAACCTTTCAAACAACAAGTTGATTTACGCTGTTTGATGTACAAAGTACCATTCTATCCTAACCCATGCTTCATTGAACAGCTATCATTGTCAGGAAACTGATATCATCGACCTTATTTGGGCACTTGGTTTGACTTCAAATTTGAATAAATAGAAATACCTTTCATTGTCTCTTGAATTATTTCTCCATGATGCGATTTAATATAGTCCAAAATATGTCAGGCTTTTCTAATTTTATCAAAATCTTGATATCATAAGTAAAGATTTATTTCAGGGTTCACGAAGAAGAAACATATGCTTTGAATATTTAGATGGGGGGGGGGGGGGGGGGATATAGGAAAGGAGTAAAATTGAAAATACCTCATTTAATATGTAATATATATAACCCACTGAGACTGTTACACTGTCCTTGTGATTGAACAGGAAAGTATTACAATTACGACAGTAATCCAAGTGGTGGACATCATGACAGTATCATGTCTGACCAGCTGGCTGGACAATGGTTCCTCACGGCATCAGGCCTCGCCGACACATCGGTATGTACACCAGCTACAGATCATCGGTTTTGGTGATGAGAGTAACTTGATTTTGTGTCTGTTTTACTTTGTCAGCATCAGAAGTTCAGCATTTTTTATTTGAATATCTTTTTAACTATAGGTATTATGGTAATTATAAATGATCAAAGCTGATATTGTATTCTCTATTACAAAGGATTGTTTATAACAGAAACTTCTTTACTCTGATAAAGGAAGTTGTAATCCTCAACTGTTCATATGTCCTAGTTGAATTAAAGCTTATACTTTGTAAATAAAAAAACATATTTATATTTTTTATTAATGTACGCTCAAACATTTCAGATATTCCCAGAGGACCATGTACAAAGTGCTTTGGAGACTGTGTACAAATTCAATGTAAAGGGATTTGGCAATGGAAATATGGGAGCCATCAATGGGGCAAGACCAGATGGTGGACAGGACATCACCAGTTGTCAGTCAGAGGAATTCTGGGTGGGTGTGACCTACAGTCTAGGAGCCAACATGATACAGCAGGTATGTTTCTGTGTGATATATTGGATGGGCGTTTGTCCTCAGGTGATGAGGTATATGAAGCTTTTATTGTGAGGCCTAACAATATGTTTCTTAGTGACTTGGGATATCATTCAAGAAGATGGGACAGAAAAAATTATCGGTTAAGTCACTGGGACCAGAAGGGATATCAGTCAAGAAGATGGGACAGAAAAGATTATCGGTTAAGTCACTGGGACCAGAAGGGATATCATTCAAGAAGATGGGACAGAAAAGATTATCGGTTAAGTCACTGGGACCAGAAGGGATATCAGTCAAGAAGATGGGACAGAAAAGATTATCGGTTAAGTCACTGGGACCAGAAGGGATATCAGTCAAGTAGCTGGGACAGAAAAGGATTATCGGTTAAGTCACTGGGACCAGAAGGGATATCATTCAAGTCATTGTGACAGAAAAGGATTATCGGTTAAGTCACTGGGACCAGAAGGGATACTGATCAAGTCTCTTGAACAGGCAAGAAATGCATAGGGACACCAGAAGTGATATTGGTCAAGTCATTGGGGTCAGAATGGATATTCTGATAAGGAGGAACAGCAAGAAGAAAGGAAAAGAAGATAAATTATCAGTCTTGCATAGAACTAATAAAGATCATTCCATGATGGGTGTGAAGATCGCTCAGGGAATTTTTGTTGCCCAAATTACTCCAAATCAAAACGTTCACTAGACATTTTCTTTTTGTTATTATTTTGAGGGTGGGGAGTTGTATTTTTTCATTTTGAGAAATTTAGGAGCATTTGTCTGTTTTGAATGATACCAATGTTATTGAAATTCCACTAGACACAAATTGATGTTATGGTCTTTCTTGATTACAAACAATTTGACAAACATGCTACCTTCAAGAATTATCTACAGCAACCAATGTGCACCATGAGCACTGTAAACCAGTAGTGTAATTCTAAATGGTGAATTCAACAAGTAAATGTGTGATGGTGACCAGCACAGAAAATTGTGGATGTCTGTCAATATAAAAGATAAACACTGCTGTTTATACTAACACCAAATTTGTGAAAAGTGCCTTGACCCGTTGCTGTATGGTAAAGTGAACCATGATTCATTTCACAATTATGGTAAAGTGAAGCCACTTTATTTTTTTTTTCAATTGCTCTTTCTTCACTAATAAAACAAAAAAAAAACCAAAAAAAAGTGTGGGGAATTTTTTTTCCAATTTTTTTTTTCACTAATTTTTTTTTCTATTTGCCCTGATTCAATCATATAAACCCACCCTAAATTTCCCCACCCTTGTTATTTTTTCAGTGTTAATATGTTTGGAGGAGCTTAATTAATCAAAGAAATAAGGAATTAAGTGAAGAAACATTGATTAAAAACAAAATATAAAGTGGCTTCACTTTACTATGGGGGAGGGGTTCATTTCATCATTATGTATTTTGACCCGAGTTCATTTCCCCATACTTCACAATACCATGCTACACTGTATTCAGGCTTAATGAGGTCTGATTTATTTAAAAGTTTTTAACAGCTTCTGATGAAAGCTAAAGTCTTGATGTTTGCTTAGCATTTTCCAGCATTATTATATGCTGTAACACAGTAGGCATAAACACACGTAATTGTTGGTACATGTAGGATAATGATAATGTTACATGTACAAAAACAACATCACATCAACATACAGTTATACTGTTCATCATCGTGCAACCTGTTCTTCATAGGGCTAGTGAGCTCTCTCTCTCTGTCTGTCCATAGGGCTAGTGAGCTCTCTCTCTGTCTGTCCATAGGGCTAGTGAGCTCTCTCTCTCTGTCTGTCCATAGGGCTAGTGAGCTCTCTCTCTCTCTCTGTCTGTCCATAGGACTAGTGAACTATCTCTCTCTGTCTGTCCATAGGGCTAGTGAACTATCTCTCTCTGTCTGTCCATAGGGCTAGTGAGCTCCCTCTCTCTGTTTGTCCATAGGGCTAATGAGCTCTCTCCCACCCCCAAAACTCCCCTGCTTTTATCCTTCAGGTCTTGTCATGGCGATGCCATAATCCAATGCTGCATTGGTTTGGTTTCATATCAGGTGGACCTCAGCTGATGAAATTGTCTAATACATGTTAACTGGGAGTCTTGTCTTTGGCATGGCGGGCATTTTCAAAGGCAGACTGCTGTCCAAAAGATAGCTAAGTTTGTCAATGGTATAGACTTATAGGATTAGTAGGTAGCAGAACTATCCACTGTAAATACAGTTACAGAGAACGGTGTGCATTCATAATTCACACCCAGTCAACCAGATATTATGTATTGATAAATCCTAAATATTACCGACTTATGTATCTGGGTTACACTAGTATCAAAACCACATTTTGTAACAATATATCTAAACCCTCTTTTGGCACAATGCCCAACCAGGTTCATGAAATCCAAGAAATGCCCTTTATCTATAGACAATGTCACAGTACTAATTCATAAATATAAATTGATAAATTCATCACAGGAATTACACCGAACACTCCCATGTATTCAGCGAAGGATAATATTTGACCATTCTGTTATTGAGTGACATAAACTTACAAAAACAGGCATTCTTTACCTTCATTCAGATTCACATGATATCAAATTTTCAGTTCCAAACTTATGTGGTTGCAAAATGTTGATACAGCATCAACTTTTTCCATTGACAATCAAGTAGCCCGTATATAGGATCAGTTACAACCTGGCATGAAGGGCTGCCAAGTTTGTTGAAATCAATTACTTTGATGATCTGTCAAAGGTCATAGGAATAAGGTTTGTTAAAATCTTTAAACTGCTTCTGTTGAATAACCAAGACACTTCTGTAGATATTTATACCCAGCACCTCATTAAAGTGTACTCATATGACTCAATTCAAAACCGGTTTCAGCCAGTAATATTTCAACAGGTACCAGAATAGTTCACAATACACAGTTTGGTTATATCATAGCGTTAAACAGTTTGGATCTGTCATCAGGTTTGACTGTTTGGTTCTATCTTAAAACCTTGAAATTTACAGTTTGGATATAAAGTTCTCCAGGCATTCATGAACACCTGTTCATCACATCTCATAAATGGAATTTTGTTTTTTTCTATACTTCCTGGGTGATTTCTCACCTGGCAGTATAAGAACCCAGATGTGCTGAACTTTATTAGGCCTCAAAATCACCTCCAAGCCAATTCCTGTGTCAAAGACATTCAGGTAGAGCTATTATCTTAAAAATCCAATAGGATGATGTATGGGGATCCTTGATAACATTTTGCCATTTCCTGATTTCAAGATCTCATGCGCCATCTGTAATATGATTAGGGTATTGGAGGTATAATTGATAAGTTTTCATCTTTCATTATCAGAATTTGCATTCATGACATTATGCTGTGACATTAAAATGAAATTCAATGAACTGTCCTTTTTTTCTGCCATTTCTTAGATCACCAATATAGGTTACTTACATGTACGAATATGGCTTTGTCAGCGTTTTCCAAAATTTTACACATCTTGTTTCAAGTCAAAGTATCGATCACAACAGCTGCGGAGAAGTGTTTTGATCTGACAATGCCTGGAGAAAGCGAAACCAATAGACGATAATAATAAACATCAAAACACTACTCCGAAGCTGTTGTGTTTGATACTCTGTATCTGATATTCTCTAATGCTCAATCACACTGCATACTCTCGGTATCGAGACGAAGAGTAAAGGAACTGAACACCCAATCTACCTAGCACGAACAGCGTTGGCTCTACTACATAAATCCTGCTTGTTTCATGTGATTTATATCTGTTCTAAAATCATATATTGTCATGGAGTTAAATTTTGAAAAAATAAAACAATATTTTATGAACATTTGTTTTAATGCTTAAATTTACATGTAGCTCAATGTCTTTTAACTGATAGTCTATATATGGTCAAATTAATTAGTAGATGAAGACTGGTCAAGAAACCAACACATAGAAATCCTCCAAACTTTCTAAATTTAAACCAGTTTTCTTCCATTTTCCATAGGTGTGTTTCATTTCCAGATATTCTGGGCATTTTATCCTCAAATAAACTCAGTGACCTTAGGAGAGAAGGTTGATTATGGTACAGGTAGCCTTGTTGTGACAATCATTAATCCACATTCTATATCACTGGCATTAATCTGGGGTTAATTTTTTTTATTTTTAGAACAATTAATTTCATCAAACCATACCACTGATTTGTTTACCACTCAGATTTTAGTAGTCCTTCTGCAATGAACATGAATTTGAGTAATTAAACAATAGCAATCTTTGTCTCAAAAATCCCTTGATCTTGATAAATACAGTTCATTAGCCTAGAGATTATATAATCTTCCATCAGTGAGCTGAGGCAGTTCAGCACAAAAGATCCTCAGTAGTTCTGATCAGCTTAAACATTATGAACTATAGACGAGAACAGAAATAGAGTTTTGAAAGTTAACACAAAGACATTGTCTATACATTTATAAATTTAGCAGTAAAACCTGTGAAATTGAAAGTGTTTCATCTGTTTATTTTCATCACTGTAATATACTTTGTAGACTTAAAATAGTCCATTTAATATCACATTGCTGAAATTAATCATACTTTCAATGATAGGAGACTGACATTTATGATTAATTAAATTGTCAAAAGCAGTGATTTTGTCAATTATGACGTACATGTAATGCTGCTTAAAACATCATTTAGATAATCATCATCACTACAAAGGCTGACATCTTGTCAATATTTGTAATCATATTGAATCTTGAAGTGATGTAGTGTAATCTCATTTGTATTTTCTGTTGAAAATCAAAATATTTGTAATTTTTTTAATTTCCACTTAATTATTTTGATGACTTTCGTCAAGTGAAAGTCATTTATACTGTGTTATCTAAACTGGATGAATAGTTAGATTTGTGTTTCCAATGGCAACATTTCGTTTCAGATAATTCTTCAATTGGCTTAATTTTAAAGATAGTCTATAAATAGATGAGAAATTAATTATTTTTCCTTTGTCTTATGCCTTCAGATGAATACATATCACTCTCAGCTATAAATTTAACCGTACAAGTTTTGGTTTCTGATGAGAGTTTTCCCAGTCATGTTTTTAAAGTTCAAATATTATTCTGTTTCTCTCATAAATTTTCCAGTGGGAAATAAAAGAAAGTATATTTAATACTCTATTCATGTATACCAGCTTATTTTGCTTTGCTAAAATTTGACATTTTGGTGTCAAAACCAATATGTAATATACTCTCTTAAGTTATCAGCTAATTCTTCAAAAATATCTAATGAGGCAGCTGTGACCTGAATGGCTGATTGCTTTACACAGAACATCTTCTGTAGTAATAATAAAAGACCTTTAAAAGACTCTAAACATATCTCTTACCACTTTGAAATTTTGATGCCACAAAGTCATGGACGAAGAATAAGAATAATGATATGAAACAGAACAGTAGCAATAGGTCTTTTCACCAGTTAGTAAAAAGCCCTAATAAACCTATGTTAGTGAATCTCCAAAATGTTTTTAGAAGTCTAATTTCAAAGTGGTGTTGCACTATCACTGGTTATGATTTGTTGTACTGATAATAACTTGCTTGCAATTTTACATATCTGACTATTGGATGCTGTATTCCTCTGGTTTGATGCGAATTCTTGGAGGTGGGTCAAAATGGCCAAGCACACATTTAGTCTTAGCAGTCTAAAAGTCATCTGCAAGTGAAAATCAGCATAAGTACAAGACAAGAAGATTTCTTCAGAAAATATCTCTTTAAATGATCACCATTGATTTAATCATAATTTCTACTTTGTACCATGTTTCATATTGATATTGGTAAAATTTGTCAGGTAACCAAGAGGCACATATGTGCATGGTGACAATATCACACTCGAGGGCAACATCTGTAAACTATAAATTAAGTATCGTGAAATAAAAAAGACATCAAAGGACTTAACATATTATATGTACCTTCATATGCTTTATAGGTTCCATACAATGTTACGTAATGTCAGACAAGGAACAATGCCATTAACAGTACCATATTTTAACTCATTGAACTTTTGTAAACTGTGTAAAGTTTTGATGTTGTTCTGGGTTCAATATCAAATTCCAATGTCAGTGATAAGGACCTCTAACTTGTTTCAGTGAATTATACATTGCACAGATATCACAATCTGATTGAAAATATATTCAAAATTCCCAATTAGGCTGTTGATAGCCATCTACAAAAGTGTTTGATGGTTTTGCATGTGATGGATTATATCTCACATTTAAAGTTTCAAAATAATTAATGCATATATATATATATATATATATCAACATTAACTTTGTATTTATGCTGTCTGTACAGGGAATGGTAGAAGAGGGATTCCAAACAGCCTGGGGTGCCTACCATGTTTGCTGGGAATGGTATGGACTAGCATTCCAGACACCTGAAGCCTACATGATGGATAAACACTACAGATCACTGGGATACATGAGGCCACTGGCCATATGGTCAATGCAGTGGGCACTTGAGAAGTTCCAGCCACAGCTCATGTCCAGTTGATGATTAAACCATCTAAAATGATCACACCATGGTTTAATGACTTATTGATATAATGAGTTACCTGTAGACCCATTGGTGAATTAGATTCCATTGTGTTTAGCACCTAAAGTTGATTGGCATAATTTGCTGATTTCATAAGGACATCTTTTAGATTTAATACCTTACTGATCTTTTGAATTGTATGTCATTTTTCTCAGTCATTTGATTGGCTATGACCACCGACTGACATTTGGTAAAATCCTATTAAAATGAACATTGCATTTACTTCGTCGTCAAAAAAAAAATTACCAACATTGCATACATGAAGCTATGTACTCCATATTCGGGTATAGTATAGCTGACAAATGCGTTGTTCTGGATTTAGAGAACAGAAGACACGTTTATTAGGGAAAAGTATATATACTACAGGATATTGTTACGTTTTTTTCCCCTTGTCTTTTCTTTCTTACCTTTTTTTTTCTTTTTTTTTTTTAAGAGTGTTGTACATGTTATAATAAAACCAGCAAGGAAGAGTGCTCTGTTTAATTGTGAATGTTTTTCAAATTAAAAATGATATCTGTATTTTCCTAATTTGTTAAATTTTCAAAATATTAAAATATATGCGTCATGATAATTCCAGATATGATTATTATATACATTATGCAAGGGTTGGGGAGAGGTATTGGGAAAGGGGTTGATAGAAGGATTGCGAGAGGTTTGGGGAGAAGGGTGGAGAGTGGGGTTGTCAATGGAATAGAGAAAAGGACTAGGGGATTGGAAAAAGGGTTGAGTGAACCTTAGAAAGGGAATGAGAAAAGGTAGGATTGGGAGAGGGATGGTGAAAAAAGGTTGGGGAAAGGTTTAGGAGATGGATTTGGACAAAGATTGGAAAAATGTTTAGGAGAGGTGTTTGGAGAAAGATTAGAAAAAGGTTGAGGAGAGGTGTTTGGAGAAAGATTAGAAAAAAGAAAAAGGTTTTGGAAATGGTGGGGGGGGGGTGGGAGTTGGATAGATAGGCTGATGAAAAGAAAAATGGTTGGAATAGGGGTGGAGAATGAGGTTACAATTTCCAGTTTCAGTTATGTATGTATAGAGTATTTAGGATGATTGGGTTGTAAGGATACGTTGCAACTTTGGATTTTGATACCTGATATATATATATATGTATATTGGGAGATGTAAGAGGATGATAAGACTGTACAATGATTGCCTTTGTTCATTTACTGAAACACTGCTGGCTAGTGATCTTTACTTTACACTGATTTTGTGATGGAGAAATGGATGACTCCTTATATTCATCCTGAAACGATAAGAGTGTTGAAATATATAAAATCGTGTTTTCTTTTTAATAGATAATTCTGTTGTACCTTTCATGATGTGTACAAAAAAATTTTTTCCTTAATATCAAATTTGCTTCAAATCATGCAAAGTCCATATTGATGATTAAAGAGAAAATCATAAATAAGTTTTGAAAAGGAAACGGAGATTATCCTTGATGATTTGTTGTTTATACTTCAGTATACCTGAGTGGACCAAAGGAAGCATAATAATGATGTCACATGTTTGTCGAATCTGAACGATGTGTTTTACATCTAGGTACATAATATATAAATATCTTCTCACTATACAAGGAAAATGTGCAATGTTGAAAAAGATGGTAATTATTGATAAAGCATTGATTTTATTGAGAATAAGATATAAAAAGACCCTTCTTTGTTTAATATCATTGTCATATGTTCTGTTTGGAGATGAATATAGAAAGTATTTGATTGCCCACTGTAAGGAATGAATGGGAGGTAGGGAAACTGTCATAATATATTGATATATATGTACATGTATATCACTCATGAAGTTAGAGTCATTTTCCTGAGTTCTTTGTGAAACTAGGACCAGTCCCCTAGTGTTGTAACACTGATGAGGTAATGAGAAAGCTGTCTGCTTATTGGTGACACTAGGACCAGTCTCCTAGTGTTGTAACACTGATGAGGTAATGAGAAAGCTGTCTGCTTATTGGTGAAATTAGGACCCAGTCCCTTGTGTTGATGCGACAATTATGAATTAGACCTGTGTGGATTGTTGATGGTTTGTATAAAGATTTTTAAAGGTATAGATCATTTCCAGTGTAAAAAGCTTTTTTACCATATACATATGGTATGTTTATGCTGTTTTCAGAATTGTTTGAAACAACATTGATTAGTGTAGATTAAAAGTTTATCAAAGATATTTCAGTTAATCTGTAAAATGTGATTTAACAGATGAAATTTTTTTTACATGGGCATTAGGTTTAAGATTTTTTTTACACTTTAAGCATGAGAGAAACTCCTTTCTGCTGTGGCTCAGAAAGATTATACCCTGATAACACACATAATTTATTTTGCAAATTGATAAAATATTATAAATATTTTTACCGATATGATATTTGCAAACAATGATAAAGGGCAGGTGTTATTATTTCTGTGGATATATTTCTTCTTTTCAAGTATCCAGCTTGTTTAAACAGAAATCATATTCAGCCAAATGTTTGCTGAGCAACTTAGGAGGGATTACTTTTTAATTATAGATAAATAAGATAGACTTCTTTTTCAGTGGGTGCTAGTAGAAGGGTCTTGTCGTGCAATTTAAAAAAACATGAGATTTTCATGACCTGGCTGCAATATAAACCACAGAAAAATATCAAAATATTTCTTAAATGTAACGTATGAAATTTTGCATAGTATTACGTCATGAGTGATATTGGTACAGGAATGCAAATTTTACTTTTAGGTCATCCTTTGACTTTATATTCAATATTGTTTATCTCGGGTGACTGTCAAGGCTGCTAGGCCTCTTGTTATCAATAAAGCAGTTTAGTCAGCACTTTGCTCTATCATCAAATACATCTGCTTTTTTTCGTTCACAGTCAAATTACTTATATTATTATGTATCATGGTTATCCTTAACGTGTTCATTGTTTTTTTAATTTAATACAGGTAAAAAACTTAAATACCTCCAGTTTAATGTTGAAATATTTTGTCAGATCAGATAATATATCATTAATTTTACATTATATTGAATCTTATACAACTAAGCATTGATGTTCTATTTTGAATAATTTGGTTCAGAATTTAGGCTGGTGATGTTGATTTAAGCTTGTTTGGTAGACAACACTGTCCCACAGTACTTCCTGTAATATAGTATGATATTACTGGGCTTTGTACCACCCTCTTGGTAATTATATGGATTTGGACCAAACTTTTATCAAAATACGAAGATTTTTCTGAGAATTTAAAGTGTTTGTTTATAAAGGATTCAATTGATTGTCCAAAAATTCTGAAATCACAAATCACTTTTATGTAAACTTTATATTACAATAATTTGTTTGTGAAACCAAGGTCCCTAGCGAAAACCCAACTGAGTTTATGGCATAAAAAAGTGTCCATCTTTCTGGTATGCATCCATCATTTTGGTCTGAAGAATCATTGGATAGAGGGAATTCTGTTCTGTTTCGTACAACTTTGTTAAATACCAGTAAGTGGTGACTTAATTTGACTATCTTTTCATTTTATATACCAAATTTCCTAATTTGAAATTATTATTAACAGCATTTTTTTATTATCATTATTGAATTGTTTAATAATTATGATTGTAGAATTAAGCGACGTCCTTATTTATGATATTTGACGAGTAACAGTTAAAAAATATAATGTCTTTGTCACTGACAACATAATTATATATAAATATACAATGTAATACATTAACAATGACATGGCTACTTAATTACATGGAGATTTTTTTTCATTTTTTAAAAATTTGGAGTGTTTGTTGAAGATTATTCTTGTGTGATGTTAACATCATGTTAGTGTTTTTAATTCTCAAAAAGCAATCAAGTGTTGTCAGATTTATCAACTCTGAAAATGCTGTCAGTAGTAGTCATGTTTGATAGGTTAGGGTATACTGTGTTGAAAATATCAGATTTTGAACTTTTATAATTTGTCTATCAGCTGCAATGAAATGCTTGCTTTTTTACTGATGTTTATAGCCACATTCCAAATATCTGAACAGTGTAATCAAAATGGCTACACATGTTGATTAAAGAGAGTCTTTTGAAGTACTAAAAAAAATGCTTAATTTTCCCTGGATACATATTGTAACAGTGCATTGTATTTTCACTATGTGTTGCGAAAAGGAACTTTAAAGACACAATATCAATATTTGTTGTAAAAAGTAGCTTTAAACATGTTATTACTATGTGTTATGTAAAGTAACTTTAAAGACACATTATCACTATGTGTTGTGTAAAATAACTTTAAAGACACATTATCACCATGTATTGTGAAGACTGACTTTAAAGAGACATTGTCAGGCAAACACATGTACAGGTATAGATACTAGCTCTGTATGCTCAACACATTACTATGTAGATTCCGGAATGATGCGCCTACTATGTTTACCAAATGACATGTTTACTTCACAAATCAATATTTCTTTCCTATGAAAAGGAGTTAACATAGATATAATGTATGGTTAATTGCTAGAAACCTGATGTTTTTTTAATGCCTTAATGATAAAGGTCGCTCATACAGAAAAATAGTTACCAGTCATTGAATACATGTTTTCATGATTACTTCATGTAGTACCTATCTGTAAGTGTTCTTGTAATACACAACTCAGGGACCGACTTCAGAAGTTATGATGTCGCTGCATGTAGTCATTGTTAACATGCTATAGGTACCTATAGCTTGGGTAAAATGTAGTATTGAATTTGTGAGATTCCTGTTTAACATTGATGTGCCCTTCATGTCTGCAAAATTCTGCCTGTTAGTGTGCCCTTATTAACACAATTTTACTCGTCACATTGAGGTTTTGTTGTATGTTGGAACACAGTTGGAGTGTCTTATATATTCTGTTATTTCTATGTGTAACCAGTAATGAATATATCTAAAGAATTATTGTTCTGAGTGGCTTGTTCCCACTAAATGTATGTGGATGTTCCATTTTTTGTGAAGCACATGTAGTGCTTATGATAATCCTGGACACAATAAATTTATTTCTCAAATCCTACCCTTTTCTTTTTGTATCTGCCTCCAGACAAACAAAATGTATTAATACTTTCTTTTCACAAAGAATGACTTCCTTAAATGTCATTGCATGGATTTTATAAATATTCAGAAAATGTTTTTTCCTCAGCATTACACATCAAAATTATAACCAGGAAGAAATGAAAGCAGAAAGAAAAACGAAAGTAAAATTTTACTCCCAAGAAGTATGTGTTGATACAATGTACTATTAACTAAACCAGACATCAACTTCCCTGGACATTTACAGGCAAAATAATAAATAAAACTACAGACAATGATGAATATGTATACTAAAGGAAGCTTGTTAAAAGTTAGATCTTTTCCCCTTTTTCGCTCCTAATGATATACAATTTAAACATTCTTTGCAGAAATAGGGATAACTACATATGAAATTTAAGAAAGATCTGTCTGGTGTGTCTCGTGAAATAGCGATAACAAAATAGAAACCATATTGTTTTATAATCAGTCCCAAAATCAAACCGGCACAACCAGGGACAAAGAGGAACCTACATATGAAATTTTCCAGTTTTTCTCCAAAGAGTGATAACAAATCTCATTGTAAAAATCCAAGATGGCCACCTGTCTGCCATTTCGTTTTTTCTGATCCAAAGACTCAAAATGAAGCGGACACAACTAGGGACTAAAGAGAACCTGCATGTGAAAGTAAAATCTGAGAGGACGGAGCCCAACATCTCATGATAGTGCAAAAAAAGTTTAAGATAAAATGTTGAAATTCATTTTCTATTGAATAATGTCCTACTTAAGGTCAAACCTCAATTGCATATACTCTTTTATTTGTGGGAAAATAGAGGAAAAACAGATTTCTCCGTAAATAACTCTAATTCAGCATTTTTAGGTCACCTGAAGTCCTTTTGCCATCACCTTTTGTCAAACATCAAGTGTCATTTGTCATACACAATTAACATTTTCAACTTCTTCTCAATAACTAAAAGGCCCCGGGTGCTAATATTTAGCCTGTAACATGCTGGCATGAATGGCTACCAAAATTGTGAAAATGAATGACTGACCCACTTTCAACGTTAAGGTGTCAATATATTTAAATGTTAAATGACTTCTTCATAAACAAAAGGCACAGATGATAATGAGCCTGTAGCATCCTTAGATAAGTGCTACCTAGTTGTCTATATTATTGAACTTGACCCACTTTCAAGGTCATAGGTATGAAATATGTCAGTCTAATTTAAACAATTTCTTTTCAATAACCAAAAAAGGCCAGAGTGCTGATATTGGGTACGAGCATGATGAGATAAAGGGCTACCAAGTGTATTAAAATGAACTACCTTGACCTTCTTTCAAGGTTACAGGTGTCAATTATGTTTAAATGTTTAAAATACTTCTCAATAAACAAAAGGCACAGGATGCTAATATTGAGCCTGAAACATCCTTAGATGAAGTGCTACCAAGGTTGCCTATATTATTGACTTTACTAACTTTCAAGGTCACAGATGTCTAATGTGTTGAAATAATTAAAACAACTTCTTCCCCATAACCAAAAGGCCCAGCATGCTGGGCTGAAGGGCAACCAAGTTTGTTCATATTATTGACCTTGATCTACTTTCAAGGTCACAGGTGTAAAATATATCAAAATCTTTAAATGGCTTCTCCTCAATGCCAAAAGACTAAGAGTGCTGATATTGGGTTTGTAGCATGCTGGGATGAAGGGCAACCACATTTGTATAACTGAATGACTTTGACATATTTTCAAAGTCACAGAGGTCAAATGTATTGAACTCTCTAAACAACTTCTTTTCAATAACCTAAAAGGCCCAGGATGTTGATTTTGGGCCTGTAGTGTGCTGACATGTAGGTCTACCAAGTTTGTTCATATTTTTTACCTTGACCCACTTTCAAGCTCACTTGTATCAAATACTTCCAACATTTCTAAACCAGTTCTTATCAACAAGCAAAAGGCCCAGAATGCTGATATTGGGCCAGTAACATGCTGGAATGAAGGGCTATCATGTTTGATCAAATGAATTACCTTGACTTACTTGCAAGGTCAAAGGGGTCAAATATGCTAAACTATAACAACTTTGTAAGTATGGGCATATTACTTCTGTTCTGTCCCAATGCTAGGACTTATGGCAGGTTCTAAAACTGTTAAAAGACCTGAAGACCTTAGATGACGGTTAAGGTACATAGACTTCTTGTTCCATGATGAAATGAAGAATTCTAAGCGAAAGTGGATAACTTCATAACTTCATACGGTATACCCTGACAGCTTTAACAAAAAAAGCAGCAACATTAATTCATGACCTTTATACAACCTTCGGTATCACTCGGTTCCATTAGTCGTTTTCTGTTGGATTAGGGTTGTTCGTTCATGAAATAAGAACAGACATACTATGGTTTGTATGCACGTGGTGGTTTTCAGTTTTTTTAACGAGAATTTCCCCTTTCTTTATGGTAACATTTCTGTTATGTTGAAATTAAATAGATATTTAAGTAATTGGTCCCAATATCGTATTTCTCGTGATTGTTGTTGACTTCTGACCGATTAGCGTACAACTCAAGATTCCGACAGTTGGAAAATAAGGAGACTCTATTACAAATTCATCAGTAGCTTTATCAATGACAAATGATTGTAATGTCACTTGTCCAATCCTGACTTTCAGTACGTAAACGTCTTATCCTGGAAATCAAAACTTATTCAAATGAGTGGACAACGCTTACCCTCCAGAAACAATGTATGTGTACCTGTACACCCTGACTTTGTCTTTTCTTGACCACCATCATCAGAGGACTTTTCGGCAGTTCAAATCGCCCTGCGTCCGTTGTCTTTCCACTATCCGTCATCAGTCTTTTCAATTCTTGTTATCGTAATTTTTTGAAAAGTAATAGACATTTTGGTTTTGGAACTGATTAAAATGTGTCTTTCCTGCATTTTGACAGTGAAAGTTTGTTTCTCAAACGTAGGTTTTCTTTGATCCATAGTTGTGTTTATTTAAATTTGGGATCGACCAAAGAAACGGAATGGCTGACAGGTGTCCTTCTTGGATTTTGACAATGAAGGTTTGTTATTGCTTGAGTAGGACTGTATGGATCTTCATCTAATCCCATACATTGTATGTAGGTTGACCTTGATCCATGACTTAATAGACCTGCATCAAATTTCCTGAGCAGGTTGACCTTTACACATCGATTTGGCACATTTGTTGTTAGAACATAAAAAATGGCCGACAGGCAACCTTCTCAATTGCATTATTATTGCTTCTTTTTAAGACGAGTTTTCACATTTCATATATTTAAGAACAAAACCACAGAAATGAGGGGGGAAATATCCCACTTTTTAAAGAACAAATAAAAATAAACTGTGGTTGGTGCCATAATCTCTTATTTTAATTGGCATTTCTGTTAGATTTAGTATTTTAGTATATTTATACAGCAACGGCTTGGTTTCTGGACATGATATGATGAGTGACTTAATTATTAAAAGTGTAACGTACGTCTTTTAGTATTTTTGAATGAATTTAATGTAGAAACATGAATAAGAATTCTGTGGAATTTGAAAGATCTTCTCAAATTTTACGATGAAGTCCCTTACAATTAAGAAATGTTTATATCACCAAGACAGGACAGTGTAAATACAATTGATTGAACTGGTTAAAATCTTCTATAAATTGATTCCAGTTAAGATGGTTTTCCCCTTTTCAAACTATATGTATCTGTAGTGTTAGACTGAAGAATGTGGTTCCCATATCAAAATGAATAGAAGTGGTAGATTCAGCTTATTGTTTATTTCTAAAACAAGAGGTTAACAAAATAATATAAAGACAAGAAATATTTTTCTATGGGAATAAGACATGGATACCGTGGATCAATCCGAACAGGTAAAAATATGAAAGAAAAATTACACCTTGACCCACATAGGGATTGAATTAATCCACTATCCAATATCACACGATACAATATTGAAATCATCACATAGTGACTGTCCAGAGATTACATCAATCGTATGGACCTCGTACTGAAGTAATATGGACAGTAGAAAGACCTGGAATGTAAAAGGTACTTAGTAGATCTCATTCAGTAAAGATCCATTAGGCTAAATTTGTTCAAATTCAACCACAATTTTACTTAACTCCACAATTTTTTTAGAAGACATGTATTCTACTTCAAACGTATTTGTCATGATACCTTGGTCTGGTCGGTAGGAAGAGGGCTTGTACATGTATTGTGTATAGGCATTGCCTGTAGCCTAATTTCCGTTAAATCTTTTCGATCTAACAAAATATATTGAAATAAAACGAGCGTTATCATCGGGAATGATTGAAACTGTGGCAGTTAATTGGTCAATGCTGTAAGAATGACCAATATTCGCACCGTTGACACGATAAATGAGTACACTTTGATAGATCCATAGAGAAAAGAGAAAGTGTTCATAAAACAGATACTTTACAAGAATTGTTTAACATATATCCAGATATATCGTCATACCAGCTTGTTAGAAAGTTATCAATAGTCAATGTTTGCATTATATTGTTTCATAGAAAATGCGAACTTGACTCTCGCTTGAATTTGTATCTCAATTCTCTCTTCATTCAAACTTACATGTCCTATGGAGAAATCAGATAAATCGACATACAACGCTTATGTATTAAAAATGGAAAATAACTACAGGTGACTGTGTCCAATGCCATTACAAGACAACACTATCAAATGGATATTTCCCTCAAAACACAAATTACAATTCACTCTTTCCTGTTTCTAAACTATTTCTACCCACCTCAATCAATACCAAACTTAGATTAATACTACAGAAAATAGCACAGTATCTCATAGGGTCTATAAGAATTGGCAGTCAGAGTATTGTTCGCAGCCATTCACGATAGTGTCGCTATTCTGTTGCAAAATCTTGAGATTCCCAAGAGGTTTGTGCTAGATTATAAATATTATCATTTCGTTATGTCGTGAGCAACTCGTAATAAGCATTGTCATTCATCCTGTGTAATCTTGGTTCTTTGTATCCATTCTTCCCAATGTTGTAGGTATTCTTCCGGGTGACACTTGAGGTGTGCAGCGTGAATAGACTTGTTCCAACACTTACTGGTCACATCAAAGTCCGGATGGCAACGGTGCCAATTCTTTATGATATCCTCCATGGCCGGTACATAACACATCGGGTCACTGTAGCTGTAAAATAGTTGAGTGGGGACCGTGATAGGGTCGGCCTTGAATAAATCTACTAATTTATCGTATTCGTCACGGGTCGTTTCCTTGGTCTTGTTGTAGTAGACATCCATTATTTGTAGAATGGGTTTCTTCAAAGCATTAGTCCCAGGAAGCGCCACTGCTATCCCTGTCGACATATGGTCATAAGAACCAACGACAACGCTGTCAAAGACTTGACCTTTGACCTTATCTCGAAAAGCTCCGTATTGTTCTGGTTCACGCCTCGATATCATGAGACAGAGAGTATAGATGTATGCTCCTACAGAAAAAGCGTGAACAAGAACCTCGTCTCTATTATCGCGAAAAATAAATTTGAGTACTTTCTTTGCAAGTTCATATCCTGTTGGTGGCCACAGAAAATGTGCCAGGCGGCCTTTCACAGTAAGGACATCCAAACCTTTAGCGTGATACAAATTGCAGTACTTATCGACGGCAGCAGGCTTTGCATATAACCAATCAAATATGATAACGATCTTCTTTGAGTTCTTGTCAGAATCATTCAAACTTCGCAATCTCATTAACTTAGAAATATCTACAAAAGATACCTCTCGCCCCTCATCTGGAGATTCGTTCGATAATCCGTGCGACAATTTGTCAGGTACGTCAGAACTAAAAGATCGTTGAGCATTCAGAAGACTTCCTTTCCATCTCCTAAATATGCCACACCCACAGCTCAGCGCCCTGTGTGTCATCCTCAAACTTCAATACTTCATCTGTCTCGCCTTTGTCCTACAAACAACACAATTCATGTAGTCCTGTCACTAAATAAATGTTTACATCTTTCAAGGTTTGATTGGCTAAGAGGGGGTCATGTGATTTTTCAATTATGAATTATATTGAGATAAAAATGGACTTATACTCTCAAAATTAATATTCTTGACCGGAATAATTTGAATATTCACACATTGGAATACGACTATTGGTGATATTACTTTATATAAAGTTGAGATTATCCATTATGTATAACGTAAAATTTTAAAAAAGCTCTAACAGAACACAGATAATATCAATCCATTATTTCTAAAATCGAGCCGACCTCTACATAAATAGATCCAACTGTACCATGTGTATATATAGAAACACATACTCGCCATAAAAAGAACGCGCTTAAATATATTATTAAAAACTCTGGAGATATACCTTTTTAGCACCTCTATTTGTCCAGAGGACTGTGCTGAAATAAAAAAAAAAAAGGACTGCACTAAAACACGAGCAGCAGTCTAGAGGGAGTGTGTTAGGTAACATAGAAATTCGGAAGTACGGTAAAACACCACAGAAGGTATACAGGGAAAGAGCAGCATTATCAAAAGTCTAGAGGGCGTCTCTGAAACATCATCAAATGTAGAGTACTCTGCTAAACACAATCGAAAATCTATAGGACTGCGCTAAAACACCATCAATTTTGCATACAGAAAATCAGAGAAATTATATCTATATTTATCCAATTACAGTATGTATGATGACCACCAGAAAACATTTGTATAGAACGATTTTTTACTGCAATCAAATGTCAAGACTCGTTATTTGCCGATCGAAGAACCTGACAATATGAACTAATATGTTCAAATAAGAGTTTCAAATTTACATTTTAGTCATTGAAAATATATTACGTATACAATGATATAAACGAGCGTGTTCTTATAACAAAACAGACCGAATACATGTGGTAACGTGGTTTTAAAGGCGGATATATTTAATCAGGGCGTTATTTGCCGCGAACACCTGATCGATAGTTATACAGTAACCTTGAAAAAAGGCAGCGGTTTCTGATCTTGCAAGTTAACAATAATATACACGAGATAGCCACACAACTCTTATAAAATTTTACCTCGACAGAAAAAATAGCATTACGTTACACCTAAACGATGTGTATGCGCTGATGGGGTGTACGTGGACACGTGTATTTTATACAGCAGTACCCATCACGAAGATAGGTTAAACGTTTCCACATGTATAGTATACTATCGATAAATCAATATTTTACCTACTTCTTCTCCACCTCAGATATACCTTAATCATATCTTTAACGTGGTGTGTTCACCGAAAGTTGAAGAACAAGTGCATTTCTTACCTACACGGTTGGCTTTGAGCGGAGTATAAACAATGTGTAACATGAAATAAATGCCTATATGATTTTGTTCTGGAACAACACATCGTCTGGGTGCCTAGGCTGTATTAAGCCTATATCTGTGCATGCTTCGTTTTTGTGACTCCGACAGAAACGACAATTTTCGTCTTTTCTCCTCGCTAATTGTCGATATTTTGATAACTTGGTTCTAGTACTCGACTCGATACCCTTTTGAAATAGGACGACGTGTTACCCTGAAACGCCACATGATGCGGTATCCTTACACAAATAGAATGGTGTATTACCTTAACCAATTCGATGACGTGGTATCCTAATGGAATGCTTTAGCGCCATTTTTAATAGGATGATGTTGTACTCCGTACAATGTGACGACATGGTAACTTTGGCAAATAGAATGGCACGATAGCCTTATAAAAAAAATATTTAAAAAAAAAAAGAAAAAAAACGATCAGAAAATACCAATATGTCAAATAGGATGACGTGGTTGCCATACAAGTTTAATGACGTGGTACACTTATAGAAAGAATGACGTGAAACCCTTATAGAAAGACTGAAGTGGTACCCTCGCAGATCGAAAGACATGGTACCCTCACAGATAGAATGACGTGGTACCCTCATTGATCGAAATAAGTGGTACCCTCACAGAGAGAATGACGTGGTATCCTTAGAGATACAATGACGTTGTACACTTTCAGATAGAATGACGTGGTATCCTTAGAGAGACAATGACGTTGTACACTTTCAGATAGAATGACGTGGTTTTCTTAGAGATGCAATGATGTTGTACACTTTCAGATAGAATGAGGTGGTTTTCTTAGAGATACAATGACGTTGTACACTTTCAGATAGAATGAGGTGGTTTTCTTAGAGATGCAATGACGTTGTACACTTTCAGATAGAATGGCGTGGTTTTCTTAGAGATGCAATGACGTGGTATCCTTGCAAATTGATGACGTAGTATTCCTACTATTTGAATATTTGTTTTTGTAATGTCAATGTTACAATAATACCAAAAGTCTTCCCGAGATGAAATAAATAAATAAATATAATATATATATATATATATAAAGAGAATAATATGGTTGACGTATTCACTAAAATCTTCAAGAGCTTCTTATTATGGAATATATATATATATTGACTTTGAAAACAATCCGAATGGCCTGGTGAAGATCATGTAAACAATGCTGGAGAGAAAAATTATCCTAAAAGACCACTTTAAGCTAAGTACGATTATCGAGATTGTGCAGTAGTACATATAAAGACACCATGTATATATGCCTGTGTAAATGGAATTTGGAAATTTGACGTTTTTGTGTAGTATTTTTGTTGTTTGTACGCGATCATTGTTTTGGTCGAAGCTCGGACGTATCTAAATAGAGTACTTTATCGACGGGGTCCGTTGTCCACGTTTTTACCTGTCTATACCTGGGTACACGTACGGTACATACGCCTTTAAGATGAGTGACAGTAACAGTGAAAGTGTTAGCCACACAGCTCCTCCTAGTAAACGAGCTAAACTTCCCACAAGATGTAATTCCATGTCAGATTTAAGTGAGGAATTACCATTTGTTTGTACCACACCCAATACAAGTGCAGGTAATGCCGTTTTAACTTACAGTTGGGGAAAGGAAAACGTGTTAAATTAAATTATCACATCGTGTGTGACAAATCCTGCGTTTCTGAAGCAGATCGGAGCATCAGTATCCGAGGTTAGAAAATCGGACCTCCAAGAAACTGTTAATACAGCATTAGCTTCATCCATTCTCTAACAGAACGTATAAAGCTTGTAGCTTTCGAAAAAAAGGAACTCAAAATAGCCAACGAATGAGTTAGAAACTACTAAAGGTACCCTGAAAGATGTACAGGAAACTAACTACAAACTTACTGAGCACATGACAGCTCTAGAACGTGATCTAGAAGATCTTGAACAGTATGGGAGGAGAAACTCCCTGAGGTTTCATAGTGTACCTCTCACTCCAAATAAGCTTCAGGAAACAGATGGTATCATTGTTAATCCTGTAAAAGATAAACTAAGTATAAATCTGTCTGCTGATGATATCAGATCTAAAGAATATATGTCTAAGTGTCAGTTAATATTTAGTGAACAATAATATATATTTTTTTGAGATCTTCTGTACAAGATCTTAAGAATCTCCGTCTTTGTGTTAAGTAATTACAAAGTTCTGAGATCTTAACTTCAAGTTCTTAGGTTTTTTATGTCAATGTGCCATTTATTATGAATTCCGTAAATATATCAACATTATGATATTTTGTTACATAAGATCTTCAGAATTTGTACCTATGTTGTCATCCAGTCATATATTATCAAGATATTCAGCAACGTTTAAGAATATATATACAATGTATATATATATATTGCCAGTTATTATGTAATCAACATGAATTACCAAGTATCTGTAATCTGAAGTACAAATTCCTGGGAATTTAATTTTTTTCTTTTTTTTTTTTTTTTTTGTCAGTTCTTCTTAAATGTATGTATATATTAGGTGTGTTAATATATGTCATTGTTTTATGATAACGTTCTTTAATTACGAATAAGCGGTTTAACACGAAAGTATTGATTCAATATTAACACATAATATTTTGTCTAATCGACACTCCTACCTATCAGTCCCAGTGAACACCTACACTGAACACGGGATTTTACATTCAAAAAAATATGCACCGAATATCATACTCAAAATTGATTTTATGGTCTGATCGCTATCATTTTAAATCCGGGCAGCAACTCTGTTAATATATAGAAAATATTCGTGATGTAAAACAGCACATATCTTAACTGACACTCAAAGTATACCACGAACGCTGACACCGGTTAGATTAATGATAAGACACATATCTTAATATCAAATCCTTTACTGGATTCCCTGGGGAAATGCCCATCACAAGTTCTATGATACAACTTGCTTACAAAAACGTGTCGTTATATTTTGTCGTTTTGGTGGTATTCGCTATAACAATGGAACGAAAGATGACCATGCTTTCTGTAAGTGAGATCAAAACCAGGGTAGCAACCTGTCACAATAGTCTGATCCAAATTAGAGAGCCGATTCGGTTACCTCAGGTAGGCAGATAATTTGATAACATAATTAATGCGATTGTATGTGATTGTAGAGCTTGTGAAATATTGATGGAGTTATCATATTGTGATAAGAGAGGGAGGCGACACGGCTTTACACACAGATATATAATTACATACGAAGGATCGTATTTCGGGCCGCTAAAGTCTGTTTCAATACGTGTAAAAACCAACACAGAATAAATCTCAGAATAAAATTTAGCAAACAATATGTTTGTCATGAGGTAATTTATTTTTAGTGTTGCCAGATATTCTACTGCGACCTAGTACTTGTTTAAGTGCTCTATTTGTTTTCATTGTTTACTTTGCATATTGGCTACTTGTCGTGAAAGTGATACACAGGTGTAAACAAACGAGATCTATGATTTATTTAAGTGATAACGTAATTTGTGAAGTATAAATGCATAAGATATAATTTCAAGTCTTCTCAACCTAGTACGATATATATCACTCTTTTCTTTACACCACGTGACCTCAGGAGACATGTCGTGTGAGTGAAGACATGTTTTGCTGGATACCGACCTATACACCATGTAACCTCGGGAGACATATTGAATGGGTGACGACATGCTTTGCTGGATACCGACCTATACACCATGTTATCTCGGGGACATATTGAATGGGGGACGACATGCTTTGCTGGATACCGACCTATACACCATGTGACCTCGGAAGACATCTTGAATGGGATACGACATGCTTTGCTGGATACCGACCTATACACCATGTGACCTCGGAAGACATCTTGAATGGGATACGACATGCTTTGCTGGATACCGACCTATACACCATGTGACCTCGGGAGACATATTGAATGGGATACGACATGCTTTGCTGGATACCGACCTATACACCATGTGACCTCGGGAGACATATTGAATGGGTGACGACAAGTTTAGCTGGATACCGACCTATACACCATGTGACCTCGGAAGACATCTTGAATGAGTGGATGGTTCCGTTGTTTTCTTTTCCTCTCTTTTTAGGTAGATTTGAGGTATCTCAGGTTCATTTAATTTAATTTGTATCTGTTAGTAGACTCAGCATCTCATGACGTCAACACCCGAAAAAGTATCCATGGTGATAGCTGTGTGAAACAACGAAACTAGAGGTATGGGACTTCCATAGTGCTAGTGACTTACGGATAACATTATTTCATTGAACGCATGATGTGATTTCTACTTAGTTCATCTGGTTTGGTTATTTTTAGACCTTGATCTCATTTGTGAAGACATTTCATGTTAAACGCGTTAAGACAGATTATATTTTATTTGATCTCTTTGTCAGATAGATTTTTGTCTAAACACAATTGAGAGAGAAAATATGATGAATTTCCCTTGTGAAAAGAATATCCACTGTTATATATTGATAATAATTTAACACTTCTTGAAGAAAATAGGGTTATGTTGTCTTTTTATAGTTAAAATATAAAATAAGAAAACATTCAAATATTGGCCATAAATTGCTGAGAGTTAATCCAAACAAATCAACTTTATACTAGGAACCGGAAAGATACTGTCATAGCACGATTTAAGCCTCCAAGTCCCAGAAGGTAATGCAGGCCTTGGATTAGCCAGAGACAAATGTGCATGCTGCACGCAAAGAGATTCCACGGAAAATACCTTAATTATCATGGGCGGAGTAATCCTCGTTTTAAGATGACTGCCTTCAACTAACGCTGTCAGCAGTATTTAGCATCACCTTTGGCTACAAAGACACGGCAAGCGCCAGCGACAACCTTCACTGATCAGATTTACTGTCAGGCGTCAACAAGAAGCTTTGCACCAGTAGGGAACAGAGAGACAAAGTCGACTACAAGGAACTAAGACGGAAGTTTTATTTTTAAACACATCCAGTCAAATTAGTTTTACTTGGGATTACATCCGGAAAATTTATAAACGTCATGTTTCA